TTTACCTTTTAAAAACTGTTAGGAGCCCTCAGATTTTGTTACCACGAGATTGAGTTTTTCTCTTTGTCTTTGTCTATTTGAGTAATTGTCCGAAGTGTGCCAGTCTTCTTTTTCTTTCATTCTGTCTCTTTCCGCCTCTTTCTACTTATTAACTTAACTTCACGCAAAATTTCTTGTGCATCCCGTGGATGAATTATAATTACTGTGAATGCATTACAACCAACCAACGTAAAAGAAGCTATTCTTGACCTTCTTTTGTTTTCCAAATACTTTAAAATATAAATGTTGCGATTTTTGCTGATCACCACAAATAATGAATCAGTATAGTCAAGCTAATGTTTCTAAACACACTTTCCAGTCGTCACGCCTAGACCTAGCTACATTCATAATAGAATCATTACCTTTGTCTTTAGTGCTGGTAGTTGTACTCGTGGTGGAGGCTTCTGCAATCTCTTTTATTCTGATATTTCCTATTAACACGACTCCAAGCTCTCCAGTGCTATTTCCCTCAATTAGAGCGAGCTCTATGTTATTCCCAGTGGTTTTCGAGTTGCGTTCCATAATAATGATAAAATCGACCACCACACTACCATTTGATAATCTGGTGACCTCAATTCCTCTATATCTAGGAAGTTTCACCTTTAAGAAACGACCCACTCTTTCCGTAAAGTTCTTAATAAAGGCTAGGGACTCGGATGAATCAAGATTGCTGTACGATGATTTGTATTTCCCCTGTATTCTCGCTGTTACTCTATACCTTTTGGGGAGCGCTTTACCTGCAAAGAGAAGAATTCTTAGCTTCTGGAAAAACTGTTACACCGTCTCGGTCGGAGAGGGAGTAAAGAAATAAGGTGATCGTCAAAATGAGGTATGTGCGAGGAGTCACAGTCTCTTTCTTCGTAGAAGATGGCATTGCCTGCAGCCGTCTCAAACTAATAAGATGATCAAAATTATATACATTTGTATTCCTACCGTTTTCACATACTCTTCCTTCATACTCCACTGCACATTCACAGAAGTAGGATTGGCCTTGTTGTTTGCAAGTTCCGTTATTCTGACAAGGGTTAGAAATACATCTGTCGATACCTAAGCGTGAGAAATATATTGAGATTTTATCTTTTAGAAATAGAAACATTCGAATTAATTTACAATCTTGGTTACCACGATCGGGGACATTTCGAAGCATTTGTTGTCAGGGTTATTTCATTTGGGTGGGGAAAGAGGGAACTGAAGTGGAAGGGGGAACAAAAAGATGTTGCACCCCAACCACAAAGGAATTATATCTTGTTTTGGTGTCGCAAAAATTCTCTCAATATCTCAGGCGAACCGTTGAATTGCTGATGTTCATGTGTTTTTCTCGACTCGTTTACTGTGCATGATCGCAATCAAAAAGTTCTCGCCAATAAAGTGCAGTTCCTTTATTTGTTTCTACACAAAATCATTCATGATTTAACCGCATGATTTAGTCTCGAAAACCAATTCGCCTTAAGATTCTCGCCAATACCGACGTCTCAATGGGCTGACAAAGGGAATTTAACACAGCATTAATTTTCTTACCAAAACACTCGCTTGCTTTAGTACAAGGGGCTGGCAATGCAGCGCCTGCTGTGACACTAACAAGCGTCCATGATGGTTGCTTTCCTTCTAATTCACTCGTTGCCGCAGGCAGAACAGGAATGAAAGATTTTGATGGTTCTAAAGTTACTAATGTCATTGCTGTAGAATCGTCAACTGCTAGTCTTGATGTTAACAAAAAATTTGTAGTATCGTCTGGTGAATGACGTAGAGACATTGATGACATTTTTTTTACTGCCTGAGATCGAATACCACTTCCAGTAGCAACTAAGGATTTACTTACAGAAGTTGATGGTGTCGGTGCAATTGCCGTACTTGTAACAACATTAGCACTTGTGCCGGGTTTTTTACTTCTTGAAGTCATTAATGTTGGTGTTACTGCCACAGACGGAACAGTCCTTGAAGTTTCGTCAGGTGTTTGATTTACTGAAGTTAAAGATCCAGATGTTACTTCCGCGGTTGAAACAATATTTGTAGCGGTGTCCAGTGTTTGACTTCCTACCATTGACAAAGTTGACGTTGTTTTTGTGGATTGGGTAACACTAGTAGAAGCATCTGATGCTTGGTCTATAGAAGTTGATAATTGTTTGGTTATCGAAGCCGAAAGTGGGACACTCGATGTAGCTTCTGGTATGTAAGTTGTAAAAGTGGTTGATTGTGGCAATACTGCCATGGATTGATCAGCTCTTGTAGTAGGACCTGATATATGACTATCAGGATTCGATGATTCTGGTGCCCCTGACCAGGGGTAAACAACACTTCTAATAGCGTCTATTGCCCGAGTAGCAGAACTAGTTGTTGGTGCTAATACTACGGATGGAAAAACGCTTGTAGCAGCATCTGATGCTGGACCTGCTGACCGAAATGATTTTGTTGCTTCCAAAATGGATGGATCGACACTTGTGGTTGCCTTAGTTGCTTGACTTGCGGAAGTTAAAAATTTTGGTGTTACTGCTATGGATGGAAAAACACTTGCGGTAGTAGGTACGGATTCCCGACTTGCAGAACGTAATGGTTTAGATGTTACAGCTACAAATAGAACCAAACTTGTTGTTGCATCTGTTGCTTGACTTGCAGACCTTGATAGCTTTGATGTCATTGTCATGGAAGAATCGAAACCTATTGTAGCATGTGTTGCCTGACTTGCAGACCCTGATGATATTGATGTTAATGCCAAGGGTGCATACAAAGTTGTCGTCGCATCTGATTTCCTACCTGCAGAATGCAGTCCCTCTACTGTTACTGCTACGGATGAAACAACACTCGTAGTTACATCAGTTGCCAGACTTACAGATGTTCTTGATAACAGAGTGACCGCCATAGTTGTAAAAACGCTGGCGTCAGTAGCGTCTGTTGCCTGATTGGTTGAGCTTGATGAATTTGCTGTTGGTGCTATGGATGATTCAACACTTATAGCAACATTTAATGCCTGACTTGAAAAAGGCGATGACTTTGGTCTTACTGAGATAGAGTGGGCAAAACTCGAAGTTGTAGCTATTGTCAGACTTGCAGATGTTTCTGATTTGGTTGTTACAACAGTGGATGTAAGAAAGCTTGTTGATGTTTCTATTCCCCGACTTACTGAACGCGATGATTTTAATGTTCCTGCCATCGACGGAATAACACTATTAGCGGCGTCTGACGTTTGACTCACAAAAGTTATTGATTTTGATTTTGAGATTGCTGCTATGGAAGGAAGAATACTTGTAGTAGCTTCAAGTGTGTAATTTGCAGGATTTGATGATTCAGATCTTCGTGCAATGGAACCAGAAACACTTGTAGTAGCGTCTGATGCCTGACTTGCAGAAAATAATATTTTTGGTGTTACTGCCTTGGATGGTACAACAGTTGACGAATTTGATGTTTTTGGTATGGAGGGATTGACTAGACTTGTAGCAGTGTCTGATACCTGACTTGAAGAAGCTAAGGATTTTGATGTTTCTGCCATGGATAGATCAACTGTGGTAGTATCGTATGCTGTTTGAACCGTGAATGGAACAACAGTTTTAACAGCATCTAATTCCTGACTCGCAGAAGCTAACGATTCTGATGTAATTACTGTGGAAGGAGTAATTATTGTAGCAGCGTCTAAAGTTTCACTTCCAGACGTTGATGGTTTTGGTGTTACTGCCGTTACCGGAGGTATACTCGACCTAGTGAATGCTGCATGACCTGCAGACGGTGATGATTTTGATATCACTGGCGTAGATGGATCAACACTCGTTGCAATCGCTGGTTTATGACTCGAAGACGTAGGCGAATCGAAGGTAACTGAGGTGAAAAGAACAAAAACTGTGATAGCGTTTGATACCTGACTTGTGAAAGTTGAAGAGTTTGCCATAAATGAAGCAACGCTGTCAGTAGCATTCGATGTCTGCGCTGCAGAAGTTGAAAATTCTAGTTTCGTTGTCGTGGATGGAATAGCATGCGTGGTGTCACTGAAGGTCTGCGTCGCATAGATGAATAGTTTTGAGGTTACTTCCACGGATAAAACAGCACTTGTAGTATTGTCCGGTACATGAGAAGACGTTGATGATCCTGACGTTGTTGCTGCGGATAAAAGAAGAATTTTAGAAACATCTGATCTATGACTTGCAGATGTGAGTGATTTTAATTTCCCTGATATGGGGGGAACAAAACTTGTGAAAGAACCTGATTCTCGACTTGCAGAAGTTAATGATTTTGATGTTTTTGATATAGTTGGAACGACACGTGTAGAAGCATCTAGTGACTGACTTAAAAAGATTAATAGTGTTATTATCGTTGATGTTGGAACACTTGAAGTAGTGGCTGGTGTATAACTTGCAGTCGTTGACGATTCAAAGGTTACCGCGGTGAAAAGAGGAACAGTTGAAGTAGTGGTATATGCCGGACTTGCAGAGTTTGACGATTTTGACGTCATTGGAACACAACTTTTAGTGGGGTTTGATGCCAGAACTTCAGAAGTTTTCAATTTTTGTTTCATCGTCGCCAATAAAATTTCATCTGCGGTGTCATTTGAAGGTTGAATTGCAGAGTAAACTAATGTGGATAAAACAGCACTTTTAGTACTCTTTATTGATTCGATTGCAGAAGTTAATGATATGGGTGTTCCTATTGTGGTCAAAACAACGCTTGAAGAAACATCTGATTTCTGACTTGCTATAGTTGACGCTTTTAATTTTAATGCTTTGGAGGGAACACCACTTGAAGCAGAATCTGGTTCCTGTCTTGTAGACGTTGATGATTTTGATGTTACTGTCCGAAGTGGAACAATACTTTTAGAGGAGTGTATTGTTTGATTTGCAGAAGTTGATGATTTTGCCACAGATGGAGCAACACTTTTAGTAGCGTGTGATGCCACAGAGTCTAAGAATTCCGGTTTGATTCTCCCGGAGGAAATTACATATGTGGTGCCAATTGAAGTCTGAGTTGCAGAATGTGGTGAAGGTGAAGTCACTGCCATGGATGAAATAGCACTAGTACTGTCTTGTGTAGGACTTGAAGTTGATGATTCTGACATTCCTGATGTGAATAAAACTGTACTTGAAGAAACATCTGATTCCTTATATGCAGAAGTTGACGGTTTTGATGTTACTGATTTGGAGACAACATTACTTGTGGTAGAATCTGATTCCAGACTTGAGAACATTAGAAATTTTGATGCTACTACTGTGAGTGGAACAACAGTTCTAACAGCAGCCAATTCCTGACTCACAAGAGCTGATGGTGATATTGATGTAATTGCTGTGGTTGGAGTAACCCTTGTAGCAGCGTCTGATGCTTGACTTCCAGACGTTGATGAGTTTGTCGTTACTGCTGTTAGTGAAGGAATGCTCGTAGTAGTGAATGGTGCATGACTTGCAGACGATGATGATTTTGATGTTAGTAGCGTGGATGGACCAACACTCTTTGTAATCGCTGGTGTATTACTCGAAGACCTTGGTGAATCGAAGGTTACCGAGGTAAAAAGGACAAAAATTGTGATGGCGTTATATATCTGACTCGTAAAAGTTGACGATTTTTCTATAAATGAAGCAACGCTGTCAGTAACATTTGATGTCTGAACTGCAGAAGCTGAAAATTCCGGTTTCGTTGCCGTAGATGGAATAATATACGCGGTGTCATTGAAGGTCTGTGTCGCAGAGAGGAATGATCCAGAGGTTACTTCCATGGAGTAAACATCACTTGTAGTATTGTCTGGTACATGAATTGCAGAAGTTGATGATCTTGATGTTCTTGCTGTGGATAAAAGAAGACTTGTAGAAGCATCTGATGTATGACTCACAGAAGTTGAAGATTTTGATGTTCCTAATATGGAAAGAACAAAAGTTGTGGCAGAACCTGATTCCTGACTTGCAGAAGTTACTGATTCTGATGTTGTTGTTATAGATGTAATTACCCTCGTAAGAGCATCCAGTGACTGACTTAAAAAGGATAAAGGTGTTATTGTCGTTGATTTTGCAACACTTTTGGTAATGGCTGGTGTATAACTTACAGTCGTTGACGATTCAGAGGTTACCGCGGTGATAAGAGGAAAATTTGAAGTAGCGCCATATGCTTGACTTGCAATAGAAGACGATTTTGACGTCAATGGAACAAAACCTTCAGTAGGGTCTGATCCCTGAACTTCAGAAGATTTAGATTTTTGTTTCATGGTCGCGAATAAAATTACATGTGTGGGGTCATTTGAAGTCTGAATTGCAGAAAGAGGTAATGCTGATGAAATAACGCTCTTAGTAATCTGTAATGAATTGTTTGCAGAAATAAATGATCTGGATGTTCCTGCTGTGATCAAAATAACGCTTGAAGAAACATCTGATGTCTGACCGGCAGAAGTTGACGCTTTTAATGTTAATGCTTTTTTGGGTACATTACTTGTAGACTTTGATGATTTTGATGTCACTTCCAGATTTGGAAAATTACTTTTAGAGGATTGTGTTGTTTGATTTGAAGTTGATGATTTTCCCGAAGATGGAGCAATACTTCTAGTAGCATGTGATGCTAAAGAGTCTGATAATTCTGGTTTGATTCGCTCGGAGGAAACTACATATGTGGTGCCAATTGAAGTCTGAGTTGCAATGTGTGGTGAGTTTAAGACCACTTCCATGCATGAAATAACACTCGTAGTACTGTTTGGTGTAGTACTTATAGACGTTGATGATTCTAATTTTCCTGCTGTGAATAAAACTGCACTTGAAGAAACATCTGATGCCTCAATTGCAGAAGTTGACGACGATTTTGATGTTACTGATATGGAGAGAATATTACTTGTGGTAAAATCTGAGTCCAGACTTGTAGACGTTAGTAATTTTGATGTTTCCTCCACAGAGAGAACACTTGTGGTAGTATGTATTGTTAGGTTTGCAGACGCTCCCGACGTTTTTCCGTCTGCCGATCGTGATGTTGGAGTGACAGTTGCAGTAGCATCTGTTGCCTGACTTGCAGAAGCAAATGATTCGGGTGTTATTGTCGTTGGTGGAGCAATTCTTGAAGTAATAATATCTGGTGTATTACTAGCAAATGTTGATGGTTTTGATTTCATTTTAAAAAATAGATCAGCACTTCTCGTAGTGTCCGACGCCAGAATTGTTATTACTTCTGAGAACTGAACACCACTTGTGGTGGGATCGGCTCTATATACTTCAGAAGTTGGTCTCACCGTCTTTGCTGTGGCAACACTTTCATTTGTGTCTAATACTTGGCCTGCGGAAGACGGCGGTGTTGTTAGGATCGCCTTGTTATCTTTTTTGCTATAACTGCCAACACTTGGAGAAGTGTTTAAGTTATACAGTGAGGACACTGATGGTGTTTCCGTTACAGAAGTTGATAGACTAACATTGGCAGCAATGTGCGGTGTAGACGTTGATGGTATTTGCGATCCTTTAGTTGTGAGGCCTGCATCAAAAGTCGTAAGGGATGAACCTATTGTTGAGCCAAAAGATCTTTCGACAAATGACGTGGCTTTCGTTGTCGTGTCAGTAGTTTCAGACTCCAACGTGAGTCTTGCAAAGGCTGACAGTGTTTGTATTGAGGACGTCGTGGTGTCTCTTGGGAAGCTAACAGAAGCTGAAGATGACAAAGATGACTGTAAAGGCGGTGTATATGTCAATGCTGACGACGTATTCGCTGCCTTCCACTGAGTTTTATCTTTTGTTGTGTTATATGTAATAGAGACAAAAGATGAAGATAAACCTATTGGGTCAGCTGTATACGTATCAAGCGTTAGGGATGTATTCGTCGTGAACGATGATGCTTTTGATTCTTCTGTTGCTATCGCTACAGAAAAAAGTTTCGTTAGTGTTACTGTAGTGGTTGTCACAAGGAGCCCTTTAGATCTAGCTTTCATGCTCTCAGACGGAAGAGGAATATGCAGAGAGACCTCTTTCGATAAATCACTTGTTGCAGTATGAGAGGTCAGTCTCTCAGACGATGTCGCTGCCGTCGATTCAGAAAAAACACTGGAGGCAGTTGACGTCCATAGTTGTATCGTCGGATCAGTGGAGGTAGCTGAAAATGTGGAAGTTTGGTTCAAAAGGAGTAGGATGTAGGTACAATAGATTTGCACAGTTGTAAACGACTTTGCTGCCATTGGAGGCAAAAACCTTCCGGCCGACCTATGGGATGAGTAGTTGGTAAATTGAGACATGAACTACTCAATAACTTTGTCCTCAATAATGATACTGTCCAATATATGTATAGGTAATAACGTGATTTTGAGTTTAATTTGGTGTTTCGAGCTCAAAATTGCACAAGCCCGCGGATGGTGTACAATTTTACAAGTGCTTTTTTGGAATAAATTGCACGAGAAATAATGTTCTTAATAATTAACCAGCTAGAAGAGCGTAATTCTTTTCATGTATATTATTACACTTTTTCATCAGGGTAATATATGCAAGCGAAAAACCCAGAAGAATACAATAACACGACAAAATAGTAAACAGAATTGTCAAAGTTTTCTGTATCGCTTGCAGTCAAGGGTTAACGCCACAAAAGGATCGATGGTACGAGAAAAAAATTGTGTCCACTAACAATTGCAATAACTCTGTCGTCACAGCACTTTATCTTCCAAGTATATGTTTTCAATTATCTTTTATTTCAGAATGCCACACGCAACGGTGTCATTTTACCATTTATTTCATAAAATATTGGCTCTGATCCGACCGACCAATGATGTTGTGATAAATCCTTGCTTTGAAGCTGTAGGGAGGAGGAATAACATAGCTGCCTTTGAAACTTCATGGCAGCTTCCTTGGTTTTTAAATTTTTATCATCTCTCGTGGGCCGAATTTGTTATTCAACGAATTATCTGAACTAAATATATGTCTTTCTTTAATCATTTATTTTCTTTAGGTTTTCGACTTCTATTATCTTGAGTGAACTGTTTTTTATAACAACAAATCATGTGGCATTCAAATAATTTACCTAATATTTTGCTTCTGTTTAGGACTTGCGATGGACTTTTATCCTATTGAAAAAAATACATTTACATCAGTGAATCGCCGCAGCAATTGATGCCCATTGAGAAATGCAAAAGATAGTTAAGCATCTGTATAATTCAGAGAATTCTATTTCACAACAACTCTGATCTTGTAAACCATGAATTTACGACGCTCTGTTTAAATATAAAAACCCAGACCAGATACAACATAATTTTCAGTCGCTGCCCAAATCGTCTTCGATGGAAAAATTTTCGAATTTGCAATCCGCTTCATTTATTTCCGTGTGATGCAAGGTGAAAATCGGTGCCGAATATTAAAGACTTCTAATTGTATACAATTTACATGGTTCGTGTGTCAACTTAGTTCAAACTCAAAATAATACCCAAAAAGGAACAGTATCTCACCAAACTAGCGTAATAAGTTCAGCTCAATTCATTCTGACTTTTCAGCTTCAGGTTAGGGTCGTTTGTCAAACTTTGTCTCTTGTCTTGCATAATTAATGTGCCATCAGAAACGCCAAACAAGTAGGAAAGTGATGTTAAAATTTAGGATGGTTGTGTGATGACAACCAGAAATAACTGAGACTTAATTAAAATGTAAACATTCTGTTCTTTGAATATTAACCAGAAATAATCTGAATAACAACTGCTGGGGTTTAAAATCATGAAATAATTTTTAAGAATTTTTAATAGATCGGCGAGAAAATGAAAGGTTAGTCATGCATAATTCTGCCGGAGTTAATTAATAGTGGTGATAGCACCAAGTCTTCATAATTACGAAACTTGTTCGATAATCATCAACAGTTGCCTCTAAGTTAAACTTTACGGATGACTCTCTAACGAACTGTGATGTAGGTGAGTACCTTGTACTCAACTTTGAATTCTCGTAATTTCAAGCACGTATGTCCATTATAGCAGTTTTCATTGATGAGAGGAAGTTCTTATGTGATTTAATTTTGTTTCCATTGGAAACGTTACAAATATTAGGGAGTTGATGCAGCCTACGATAAGAAATTTGCGTGCTTGTGACTTGATGCATTTACCACCTCAACCTCACCAGATATGCATCCTCTTTAGCCTGATTACATGTGAAGGAAAGACTTCGGGTTCCAAATAAGAACGTCTTACTAAGGTTTGATGGGCAGAATATTGGCTCTACACGTGCCTTTTAGAGCTTTGTACAATTCCTAGCTTTCTCATGCGATAAAACAAGTTGGATCACACAACCATGGGAACCCCTACAACAAATCATTGAAGCTTCCACTGGGAACTCAAACGACTCCAACAGATCCTAGGCTAAACATTTTGTCTGACGCCATCAATTAAAGCAAGAGGGACGAGACTCGTAAAGAGGAAAAAAGGTTAGTTCATCTTATAATCACCAGTTCCCTCAGCGTCGCCGTCGTGACTGCGTAAGGTTCCTATCATTCCAAGAGTCAAAAAATGTTCAAAGAACTACCAGAGTGTGAAATTCGTATAAAAAGGGGGGATATCAAAGTCCAGTTTGAGACAAACCGCTTCAGTTCTCAAAATCATGCGATCTCTTAAAGAAAGCTGATCAAATCAGGCATAACTAATTAAAGAGAAAAGAAGGCTTTTCAGGGAACCTGTCCTGTGAATTCGAAGTAGTTAAAATGTTTTCAGATCGAGTTGAATGGTGCAAGAAAACAACGTTTTGTTGACATCTGAACATGAAAGGGTTTGGGAGTGAATAACGAAGATAACCAACACTGTTAGCTTCAAAGTAAACTGTCCTTTATCGAGCCATCCACTTGGAAATTTCAGGTGTAAAATTCTACAGCGCAGTTGTCTTTTGACTGTCGTTTAAATAATCAATGTGCTGCACATTTCATTAAAGACGTAAGTGCCTTCATCATATCGCATCTTCAACGTCGTAATCATCTCCGACAGTAAGAGGTGCGTCTTATTTTGGATGATCATCACCATAGAATAATCATTATCGTCAACGTCATCTTATTCGTCACCACCATTCCTACCACCATCATCCTCATCGCTAGCGTCACAATCAACGCCATCATCATACTCATCATCAACGAAACAAATCAAGCCCACCATCACCGTCATCATTGTGATCATCATCGTCATCACTGACGTCGCTAACAACTTCATCATCGACGAAATAATCATACCCATCAGCATCACCGTCATCATTGTAATCATCAGCGTCATCATTGACAACTTTATCATCAACGAAACAACAATACTCTCGTCAGCATCACCGTCATCATTGTGATCATCACCATCATCATCACTGACGTCGCCGACGTCATCTTCAACGAAATCATCATATTCATCATCGCTATTGCCCATCGTCTTTTATATCATTAACTATACCTCCAGAGGTACATGCTATTAACTTTGCTTTACCATTCCAAAACATCACACAGAAGAGATAAGAATAGACGGACACTCGTATCGGCAAGCGGGTTCTATCTCGATTTAACATATCATCATAGGGAAATGTAATTGAAGGTAAAGAGGTGCTGTCTTATTCAGATCCAATTGCGTCCTATCCACCTGTTGTCCTTTTCAACGATAGGTTTCGTGAATTTTTTTCCCCATGAGGATTGATTAAAAT